CTACCTCCAAAGTGTAAATACATACACCAGAGTGGAAAACCCCTAAACTTTCAGTTCTGAGTTTTATGTCTTTTGGGACAAGCTGAGCTAATGGTTTGCTCTGTAACCATATCTGGTATTGTTCCTGTTAGTGAATTCTGGTCTGATGCTTTCGGTCTAGTGTTTGAAACCAGGACTTTGTTAAAATCTGGCATGCCTGAGGTGTCAGCACAGCCATGCAGATGGCTCTTTCAACAAGTTCTTCGCAAGACTGCTGCGAGCTTCAAAGGTGCTAAGCATATTTCTTCCCAGGAATGACAGAGCCTAGCACTTTGGCCTATCCAAACTCTCAGGTTCTTCGCATCTCTGAACAACAGGGTGGGGTTGGTGGCACGTGAACTGGCCGGGGAGCAGCCTCTGTGTTTCCGAAGGAAGAGAGACCCAGTCTTCAGCTTTTCAGAGCAACTTGCCCTGAAGTGGTTTTGTTTTCAGAGCTGTTGTTTGTAGGGTTTGTTCTGAAGTTGCTAGAAAGAATAGGGTTGTCTGCTGAAAGGGCTGCTCTTGTTTTCTATCTGTAGATGCTCTTCTGTGTTTATAATCAGGGGCTGGACCATGCTTGGAGGGGAGAAGGAGATCAGAGTAACTGCTTTTTGCTTGTCATTTGATGTTAAACCTTGCAGAGAGAGACTGTAAAACAGAAAACTTTGATTTCTCTCTCAAAACATCAGATAGCTGCACCTCACTTTACTACGTTGTTCTTCCCTGGCTGTAGGCACTGGCTTCTTGATCACCTGGGGAGAGAGCAAGGCTGGTTTGCCAGCCTGCCTCTGCACAGAGCCCTGCACCAGAACACATGCAGTAGGATGGGGAGATAGATCTCCCTTGAGGAGTTTGCTGGTGGAAAGGGGCTGGGAAGCAGGTAGCAGTGAAAAGGTGAGACTAGTTGAAGTGAAAAAAAAAACAAACCTGCTGCACCCTCTAGAAAAGATCTGAGCTGCCCTTTTAACAGTGATTTCTCACCTGTCTTTGGTGATCAAGAGTTGTTAGGGATGAGCGCGATAGAAATGTAAATTATGTTAAACAGGGAAAAGAAGTCCCAACTCAACAGAGTCTGGACATGGACAAAGATTTACCAGAGCATCCTTGATCTCAGAAATCATTCAGCTAAAAGTAATCATTCCTTTAGATTTTTATTGATGATGTGGCTCTTATTGGGACTGTGTCCCTTTGCGGGTTTTTGCAGGAAAACCTTTTGTGTAATCTCTGTTCTTGACAAAATGAAGTAGCTACCAACAAAGGTCGTGGAGGTGGCATCTACTGGGTGCCTTCACACAGATTAGATAAGGTGGTGTGCTCAGGTCAGTGATGTTCTCTCACCAGAGGCTTGCTTTAGCCACTGAGGCAACAGCATCTTCAGCTTTGTATTTATAACTCCGATAAGGTCTTTGTTTTTGGCACAGTGGTACAGAGTATGGGGAGATGAGACCACAGTGTGATATCACAAGCTAAAATCGTGGGCTGAGCCCTCTTTCTTTCTGTTATGTGTTAGATATGTTTAAAAATTAAGGAGGTCTGAAAGGTAGTTGGCTGTGCCAACTATTCTGAATTTAGCTGTATTTTTTAATACTCTCACACGTCCTTCTCTAAACTCTAGGCCTGAAATCTTTATTTATTTTTTAGATGAAAACAGAGCTTCTCTTGAAATCACATGACCCTAGAAGCTTGTGATTGATTAAAAAAAACATGATTGCTATGAAAACAGGTAAAATTGTGTCACATTGTGCCTCCTTTTGGCCAGTCAGCTCCTCTCTGCGGGGTCTCTATGAGTACCTCAGACTCACACAGCTCTCATGCAGAAACGGATGGTCAGCCCCACATGGAATCTTGATTGTGCAAGGTCATTCTCTCCAAACCAGAGCAGTTAAGGGTTCAACTGACTTTTTTTCTGGTACCTTTCCAGGCTCCTGGTCTGCAGCACCATGCTGGATCCTAAGCCTCACTCTGCAAGCCCGAGGTGAATCCAGGTGAAAGCCACCTATCACAGTAGGTATCAGGATGACCAAAGCACGGCTCCTCCGTCTTTCTGTGGTGCTGGTCTCCGTCTTCATGATCCTCCTGATCATTGTGTACTGGGACAACGTGGGAACAGCTCACTTCTATCTGCATACGTCCTTCTCCAGGCCTCATTCCTCAGGAGCCATCCCTGGTATCACAGCAGGTGAAGACTGGGAAGCCTTGCCAGATGTGGATGAATTTTTGGAAAAGCTGCTTAGTTCAAGCCTGAAACAGAACAGCTCTATCTCCCGAAAGACAGAGCAGCTACTTGTCCAGGGCTCAGGCAAGCCTGTGGTTAGCAATTTGGAGGAGAATGTGCGGGGCTATGACTGGTCCACGCACAATGCCAGAAACAGTTTGGACCAAGAGAAACTGCAGATAGAGAGACAGAGAACGTTGCAGGAGTTTTGTGCCAATTCCAGCTTCACCTTCCCTACCAAGGAGCGTTCCTTTGATGACATCCCCAACTACGAGCTCAACCACCTGATCGTGGATGACCGCCACGGCATCATCTACTGTTACGTCCCCAAGGTGGCCTGCACCAACTGGAAACGGGTGATGATTGTTCTAAGTGAAAGCCTGCTGGACCAGGGAGTCCCATACCGGAACCCTCTGGATATCCCCCGGGAACACGTCCACAACACCAGTACCCATTTGACCTTCAACAAATTCTGGCGCCGCTATGGGAAGTTCTCCCGGCACCTCATGAAGATCAAGCTGAAGAAGTACACTAAGTTCCTCTTTGTACGAGACCCTTTTGTCCGCCTCATCTCTGCCTTCCGCAGCAAATTTGAGCTGGAGAACGAGGAGTTCTACCGGCGTTTTGCCATCCCCATGCTAAAGCTGTACTCCAACCATACCAACCTTCCCACTTCCGTTAGCGAGGCCTTTGGGGCAGGCTTCAAAGTCTCCTTTTCTGACTTCATCCAGTACTTACTGGATCCCAGGACAGAGAAGATAGCCCCCTTCAATGAGCACTGGAGGCAGGTTTACCGTCTGTGCCATCCGTGCCAGATAAACTACGATTTCATTGGGAAGCTGGAGACGCTGGACGAGGATGCTGCTTATCTGTTGCAGCTCCTCAAAGTGGACAGGCTGCTTCGCTTCCCCCCCAGCTACCGGAACAGGACTGCCAGCAGCTGGGAAGATGACTGGTTTGCCAAAATCCCACTGGCTTGGAGGCAGCAGCTCTACAAGCTTTATGAAGCAGATTTTGTACTCTTTGGCTACCCCAAGCCGGAAAACTTGCTCAAAGACTAAAAGTGACTGGGCAGTGGGTGTGGGAGGGAATATCTGAAATACCAAAAATGTTTAAAGCCTCTTCATTTTTGCTCTTAATTCCCTTCCCCATACAGGTTGGTACAACGGAATATATTTTTTCTACCGCCTCCCCTTCCATTTTTGCAATAATGCCAGAGTCCAGGGTATTCCAGCCAGCTGTGCATATGCAAAAAATGCTAGTTTTTTTGGTTACTGTTTTTTTTTCTGGGTTTTCTTTTTTTTTTAAAATGTCCACATGTTTTGCAATGGGTTGCTGCCCTTGGTGACTCTGCCAGCTGTGTCCTTCAGTAGCTTTTTATTAATACTTTTTTAAAATTAATATATTTAAGATATTTAATACAAAGTGTGTGTTGTGGCAAAGGAAGGAATTAAAAAAAAAAAAAGTAAAAGAAAAACCCAAGAAATGGTGCACCTGACTCTGTGTGTTGTTTCAGGGGTCCAAGGCTTGCAGAGCACTTGAATCTCTTTGGGAGCTGAGTTTGTCGGTGGTGCCTTCACCAGCCGCATCTGCTGGCAGTCGCTCTGAGGTGGGACGAAGGCGGATTGGACGGGTCCGTGCCTGGCTCTGCCAAACAGCCCTGGAAGAATGCCAGTGCTCCGATGACGTGTGCTGCTCACAACTGGTGAGCGTGATGCCAGGGTCACAGGAAGGAAACAGCAGTTGGGAGCAGTGACACCAAGCCCCGTGGGGTGTTTCAGGATGTGCAGGTGGCCAACACTGTACCTTTGCACTGCTTCACCTTTCAGCAAAGTGGTGGTGGGAGTGTACTTCCCAGAAAGCTGAGATTCCTCAGCCCCTCTATGCTTTTGCTAGTGTGGAGCATCTTCCGTGATATGTCCTGTTCCAGGATGGTGCCTGAAGTTTTGGGGGGTTGTGGCCAACCTAGATGGACAGAGTGCACTCTTGGATGGACGTGCTGTCCAGAAATTGGCACCCAGGCTTCACAGTGCAGTAGCTTAAGCAGAAACGCAGGTCACCGTATCGCAGCCGATTAGAGGACGGGGAGGTGGTGTCACTGCTGTGTACAGTGCGGGTCCCTTGAGAGCTGTGCTGTGTCCTTATTCCTGTGCACGCTTTAAGGGCACGTGGCAGGGATGTAGATGCTTATCCCTGGAAGAAGATCCAAAAGGTTTCTTCCAGTCAGCAGGCGTCAAGGTGAACTCAAAGTTCATTTGTTTTCAGAGTGCCAGCTACTGCTCGTGTTGCTGCATCCTCATCCGCTGCCTGTCTGTTTATACCAAATGACTGATGCAGATTTAATCACCTACCTTGCTGGGACCTGCAGCAGGAGTGATGGTTGCCCACTGTGCTCGGAGCATGTGGGCTGCTTCCCAAAGGAAATTAATGCTTTTGGAGAGAATTTTTGTGTCCCATCAGCTGAATCTGCTTCTCTTTCTCTCTGAATTGCTCTGCAAAAACTGTCTGCTTAGCAGATTGGGCAGGCAACTCTTTTTAGAGCTGAAGTGCTTAATTATTTCCCTGGGCTGTGGATGGTGTCAGTGATTAAGGTCCAGGGTCAGGCCTTGGGAGGCAGCCTTGTGTTTTGGGCAGACTTCTTTGTATTGGCCTTTTACTCAGTTTCTCTCTGAGGCCATCAGCAGGCATGACTTTTCCCCTTTCTCC